ATATGTGTGTGTGTGTGTGTGTGTGTGTGTGTGTGTTGGGTGTAACAGCAAAATTATCTAAATCGTGTAACAGCATGGGATAATTGTCCATCCCACAAAATGTTTAATATCTAAAAACAAAAACACTAAACTAATTGAATTTCTTTTTTCCAAGTTTTCAAATAAGATGTTTAGCTATCTTGACCCATTTGTCGTAAGAATCACTAAAAAACATTTTGAGTTATTAGCTAGAAAGAGAACAGGTTAAAATCGTTTTGTGTCAGCCTCATTATGTCTTCCTAAATAAGCAATGGTGAGAGGAAAAAGATTATTCAGGCCTTCAGTAATGGTAGCAACAGTCATATTTTGGCTTCGATCTTCGAAGTCCATTCAAGAACCATCAAAAGAACGGTGAATAAGTTTAAAAAGAGGGAACAGTAAGAGGAAAACTGGATCAGGAAGTGTCAACAGCAATGAGGATCATCATTTCTACTTAGAGCTAAATACATTCTTATTGCTCAAATTAGAGTCCAATATGAAAACCTCGGAGATTCCAGTAGGATATCTTTAATCATTTCGACGACACAACGTTTCACAGATTAATCTAACAACTGAACACGGTGTATGAAAAATATTTTTACACATTTTGGGGCCGGATTCCTTATAGCAAACCAAGGACAAATGTCCATATAAACATATGTCCGCCAATCCTCCATTTTTGAGTTATTAAGTTTAAAGTAAGTTTACGGTAGATGGCGTTGTGTTGGAATGTAGACTAGGTTACATTTGTCATTCGTGTACATTTGTGGCTTGTCTGTCTCAAACAGGTGAGTTAACTGAGACGTGTTCCGTTTGACAATGGCAAGATATTCTTATCGTCAGCAGGCAGATATGATTTTTACATACAGTCATGCGAATGGTAAAGGCCGCGAGGCTGCACGGCTGAGTCAGATTGCGTTTTCAGACAGTCAAGTATTTTGCTGCTGTTTATCGTCGAGTTACTGAGATAGGATCCGTGGCACCACAAACTATGGATCAAGGCGAACATATTCTACAGGTTGTCGGAGACGATCCGGGTATCTGCACACGTCGTGGCCCTAGCATGTCATACATCTCATAGTACCGACGGGAGGGTACTTCAAGAGTAGGTCCTGTATCCGTATCATTTGCAATATGTGCAGGACAACACACGAGATTTTGCCGGTGGTTTATTGTACAAAATGCCGATCTGTTGTTTGTCCTTTCAGTCTTGTTTACGGATGAGGCAACATTTGGAAGAGATAATATATATATATATATATATATATATATATATATATATATATATATATATATAGTAATGCTGCAATATGGTAAACCGTATGGAATTTCCATGAGGATATAGATCCAGAGAGTGCTGTATGTCAAAAGACAAAGCAAAATTATTATTAATTAAAGAATATCAAACACTTAAAATCCCTCCCATAGGTAATAATTTTTATTTCATGAGAGCTCATATTGATAGTATATATTGACTTCATTATTCGTTTCGCCATCATTAGATAGGCATACTCAGATCAGAACGATCGATATATATATATATATATATATATATATATATATATATATATATATAATCGATATATATATATATATATATATATTAGCATTTCACCTCAATCAAGGCGGGAGTGCTACTAGTACGCAAAGTGTTACAGAGAGTAAAGGTAAGGGAAAAGACTAGGGTATAGGAGTGGGGTGAGGAAAGGATAAAAAGAAGAACGGGGATGAAGGAAACAGAAAATAACGATTGATGTGACATTTAATTTTTTTAAGATTATAGTTATCGGGGTAGCAAGTAAGAGGAAGGGAGTTCCACTGTCGGGAAGTGCGAAATAAGAAGCTGTTGGAGTGGAAGAGGCGGTTGCATTTAACTGTTCCAACAGTAAAAGGGTGGGACCTGGATGTCAACCTAGTAGCACGCTTAAATTCATGCAGTCGGGGCACCGGAGAAAATAGCTGGTCAGAGCAATTGCCATGAAAATATTTGTAGAAAAGTAACTGGAGTCGAGATGCCAAGTCAGGACCAAATCGCATTGCATATCCGTCTTTGTATTTCTCGTCGAGAACCTCGAGATGAACAGCAAGGGCGCCAGACCATATATGGCAACAGTATATATATATATATATATATATATATATATATATATATATATATATACTAACAGCATGGCCCGGTGTTGCCCGCGATTCATTCAGAAATCGTACGACTCATACAGCAATTGCTATCAATCAATATTTTTGCCCTTCCTTGCCTTTAAAGGAGTGCCCTTTTCCGTGCTGATGTTGCTACATGCCTTACTTCTTGCCTATCTCACACTGCAAATTTTTTCTAAGCTCTATACTAAACATTAAATCTGTTACGAAAAAAGAACTAAACAAAATGAACACAAAACGATCAGCTTTAAAAAAGGACTCGTAACTGGAAAATCCGAATGAAAAAAGAATGTTAACAACAAACACTACTTTTTCACACCCAACCCAGTTCTGCGGAATCAGAATCAACGTTGAGTTTAAGCAAGCGAATGAGCCAATTGGAGTAAAGTGCCATGCATATTTAAATTTTTCCCACTTGTGACGAATGCAGCTATCGATTTTTTGCATGCTAGCATGCTAGTTAACATTCGTGTTAGTCAGCTGTTGGCTCTCACGCTGGCCAATAGAATCTTCCTGCCTATTCGTGGCAGCCAGCGATAGGCTCTCACGCTGGTCAGTAGAAAATGGCGGCAAAATACATGAAAAGTGCCGTAGAAGCAAGAAAAAATCGATTATTACCACTATCGATGGGAGTTGGGAAAAATCAAAGTCGGTCTTGGGCTTCCCGCTAACTTGGAGCATGTGCATGTAAATTTTGGTGCAAATCTGTCGAAAATTGCGGCCGTGCATTCGTTACACACACACACACACTTACACACATCCTGCCTTTTATATATATATATATATATATATAAATGTAAGCAAATATACGGATAAAGATCCGACAGTATGAAGAAAAATATACGAAAAAACAAAACAAAAATCCTAATATGCAATTGAAACATTAATTAAAACAGCATAATTGCATATTAGGATTTTTGTTTTGTTTTTCCGTATATTTTTCTTTTATATATATATATATATATATATATATATATATATATATATATATATATATACAAAAGATCGATAACGACTATTACATTTAATTCTTATTAGCAAATGGATTTCCGTACCTTGGTGTTAAAGATATATACGAACTGTTGTATATGTTCTTGTTAAGTTTATGATTTAATATTGTTTAAACCCTTAGGAAAGGGATGAATCCTCTTCTTCCCCCCCTCCCAAACTATGGGTAAATAGCATGACAGACCGGCTTCTTTAGCCTTGGATGGCAACTGGTCTACCGCAGAAAGAAATGGCAACCTACTGCGGGGAAAAAATCTTCCTCCTCAGTCATGATCGCCTAAGCGTGTATCACGCGTGACACATAACTAACTGACTGAATTGTGGCACGCAATAAGTGGGGAGATAGGTCAAGGCTGGTCGACACTGTTATATCTAGCTAATCAGATTCACGATTCATTCATTCGTTACAACTTACTCATTCACCATAAGAATCTATCTATCACCATTCGCTCCTATATACACCAAAATACCTCATTGGGTGCCCCATATTTTCGGCCTTGTGCCACATCTAAGCTACGCTTGGAAAGTCACTATACACCAAAATACCTCACACACACAGGGCTCCTACAGAAAAAAAAAACATGACTTAAAATTTCAATATTTACAATTGTATGAAAATTCTATCAGTGTTATGAAATGATGGGAGTGATGACCTTGAAAATAAAAAAAAAAAGATGTTAGTAAGCCCCGTCCACCCCCTCTAAAATAAGAGCTGTATTTTCTCTTCTGACAAAATCAAGAGGTTCTCTCTCTAAGGAAGGGAGCAGGATAAAAAAAGAATATGGTCATTAGAAAATTCAAAAATCTGACCCAGTCGAGATGAAAACTTTTTGATTTGATTGATTTCAGTAAAGAATAAAGGAAATTAAATCAAATGCAAAATCCGTTTCGTGATAAATTTGTAATGATTTGGAGTTTTACGTTAATTAACGTTTTTTTTTGTTTTTTTTTATGCCACGTGAACGTGATATTGCTTCGTTTTCTAACTTCTGAAACATTCTAGTGCAACATGAATATGAAATATCATGAATTCCGAGAATTTCGATAACATTTTAGACTGCCTATTCCCGAATGTAATCATTGTTTACAGTTTGTTTGACTTTTACAATTTGTTTATTTTGCTATTTTCATGTAATTCTTCGTACTCAACTGCAATTTTATTTTATTTTCATTTTTCTTTCTTTTTTTTTTTACAATCTGTGTATCCCAAAACATTGCTTTTATAGGCATTTTAAAATATTGTAAGTTTTTTTTTTTAAATTACAGGTTGAGTATTTTAAAACTTTAATAACAAAAAAATATAAATGAAGTTATCTCCCTTGCATATTCTTAACAGTTAATTTTTAAATTACTTATAAAGGAGTGCATTTCATGCGCATTTACAAAAAAATTTACAACTATTAATTACATTAATTTTTTGTCTAAGCAATTCATCCCTGAAAATGATCTTGAAGGAGACTGAAATTACATTGGAAAATAAAAAGAATGAGAAAAACTAGTGCGCCTTTATTAACCAGTTTAATAACAATATTAAAAAGTTGATCCTTGAGTTTAAGAGGATTAAAATAAAAATAAATAAACATAATATGTTTAGATCAGTGTTTCTTAGCCGTGGGGAAATTTCAGGTTGTTAGTGGGGGAAAAATGTTTTGAAGGCGGTTGTGTGTGCGTATGTGTGTGTGTGTGTGTGTGTGAGAGAGAGAGAGAGAGAGAGAGAAAGATTTTATAAGAAGAAACGCAGCAAACAGCCAGTCTTTTTTCTAACGGCGTAATCGACCTGTGTAATCTATCATTGTTAGCGTTTGGGATCAGACCATTTACTGTGCGGGCTGCCGAAAACGCGTCGACGATTGTCTGCTGAATTCCGACCGAACCTTAAAGAAAAGCAATGTCAAAGCCAGCTGCCTGCCTGCCTGCCTGCCTGTCTCGGGGGCAAGGCGGTAGGCATGCGGGCGAGCTAGCTGCCGCGCACGTGGGTCCGGTCCCGCGGGCGCGCGAGAAGCGGCAGCCGCCGAACCCGGCCGGCTGCCAGTCTTCGCCGTGCGCCTCGGCCGTGCGCATCGGCCGTGCGCCTCGGCCGTGCTGCCGAAAACGTCTCGACGATTGTCTGCCAAATTCCGGGCGCGCGAGTTTTAATGATCAAAGTTGACTTGAAAGTAAGAAGCCAGAAGAGAGAAATCAACAATTGCGAGAGAAGAAAAACTGTTAATTTATGGTTAAATCTATCAATTTCAACAGTAAAATGGTGAGACCTATCTGCCAATCTAGTACCGTGCTTAAATTCGTAAAGTCCTTTTACCAAAGAAGAAAGTTTATCAGAAGAGTTAGCATGAAATTATTTATAGAAAAGACACGAGGAAGTTACTTTAAGGCGATGGCAAAGTGACTGAAGCCGACAAACCAGGTCTGGATCAATGACATTACAGATTCTTATCTGGATTTTGTCAAGAATCTCTAGATACATAGCATTAATATAGATATATGGGCGTGAAGATTTATATAACAATAATAATAATGTAAAAACGGGACCCTCCAGACGACAGTACTACCTATAATAGCTGTAATACTAGGATGAGAGCAAAAATATTGAGAAAGCTTACTATCACTTAATTTCTATTGCGTCGTCGTCGTCGTCGTCGTCGTGGCGGTGGTGGTAGTGGTGAAGAAGAAGAAGAAGAAGAAGAAGAAGAAGAAGAAGAAGAAGAAGAAGAAGAAGAAGAAGAAGAAGAAGAAACGTGATGCGTTTATTTTTGTTTTACATTTTAGGATAACGTATTTCTTTTATTTTTATTTTTTTCGCGTGATCGAATTTGTTTACTAACTTCTGGATCCATTGAAGTAAATTCATCTCGAAATGAAGTTTGAAAATTTAAAGAACAGATTGCGTTTTCTCGCGTTCTCAGGAACATGCAGGGTGTGAAATATTTTGCAACTCATTGAAAAAGTTGCATCGAAAAGCCATTGAACATTAACACTCCGTTCCAAAATTGAATTCTCGTTCAATCTATGATTTTATACATTTAGTTTTATTTCATTTTAGAGCATAGTTAGAAATTCAGCATTAAGAGAAAAAATACTTCAGATTTCATTAGGAACATTTTCCAAATTAATTCTGTAAAAAGAGGAAATATACAATATGGCGATCACGGAAACTGGAAACGGTGCCGAAATGTTATCAGCAACACAACTTACAAATCTGCCCGAATGAGCTGACTTACTTTTATTTAGATTTATTTTTATTGATTTGTTTTTTACGACTTATCAAACTTTTGCAGGTTATTTAAAGCCAGAAAATATTTTTTAGATTGTAAGATTGGGGGGGTAGTGGTACAAGTTTTATTAATTAATCGATAGATTGGGGGGTAAGAGGTAGATTCCTAATTTCCCAAGGGTATTTGCGCGTAAGTGAATATAACGAACCCAACTGGAATTGGAACTGGGATCTCCGATTAAGAATTCCGAGTCTTTATCCATTACACCACCCGCGCAGACAAATTTACAGCACCTAACATTCTCAAGCAGTCACACATCTAGATAATGACCAGGTTCCCGTGTGATTACCGAAGGTAAGCAACGTCGAGTTGCTTACCTTCGATAATCATACGGAAACCGGTGTTTCAAAGTGATATCTCTGTAAGCCTATTTATTTATCTATTTTTTGGTGGGTGGGGATCGTGTATGTAGCTATAGTATATATCTTTTAATCATTTCACCCCAAACAAGGTGATGATGCCACTAGGATGCAAGGGTTGATTGAGAGTGAAAGAGAATGAGAGGCCTAAATTGAGGACAAAGGAGAATGCAATAACGGGGTTCAGGAAACAGAAGATGGCGATTCCATTTAAATTTTTGAAGATTGTAGGTGACAGAAAAGCCAAAAAATCGGGAGTTCCACTGGTGAGAAGTGCGAGAAAAGAAACTTTTACGATGGAAGTGGTGGTTGCGTCTAGCAAGTTCAACTGTAAAACGGTGAAACCTAGCAGCCAATCTAGTCGTACGCTTAAATTCATGCAGTCGAAACATCAAGGTGGAAAGCTCATCAGAACAAATGCCATGAAAATATTTGTGGAAAAGACAGAGGGAAGCCATGTTCCGTCGGCGAGAAAGCGACTGAAGTCTTGATGTCAGGTCAGGATTGTTTACATTACAGACCCTTCTTTGGATTTTGTGAAGAATCTCAAAGCCACACGAGAAATCGCAGAAAAAAGATACAGGAGGATAGGTCAGATCTTTTTTTTTTTTTTTTAACAGTTTCACCTTGTACAAGTTCCGATGTCACTCGTGGTAGAGAGTTACGTTAAGGGGTAGTTTGTGTGGATGTGAGAGGAAAATAACGGCTGAGTCTTGACTTGAACGGGTTATGATTGTGGTGATCGAGGAAACATCCCCTTGGGAGTCTGTCTCATACGGTAATGGTTCGCGGGAAGAAGCTGTTTGAGTGGAACTTACTTCTAGCCGATGGAATACGGGGTGGGGGTTGTTACTATGTAAGTAGCATGGCGGGTCCTAGCCGTGAAGGTCAGACCTGGTGGAACCAGGTTGTTGCAGGTCACAGGTAATTATCATTATAACATTGGAAAGGAACAAGATAGTGATATGTTTGATAAATACAGGCTTGGATCACGCAACAGGTGTAAAGAACAACGTGTTCAGTGGCGAATGACCAAAATGACAACAAAAGAACATCCCAGAAAAGACTAAAGAAAAAACACACACACACACACATACACACGAGCGCGCCCACAGATAGAGATTAACTGATCACCAACAAACGATGTAGAAACGTAGTTTTGCGCTCGAAAACATGTACAAGTGCTGACTGCGGGAGTGACCACTTACCAGTTGCCTGCAAATTTAGGATAATGTTACGAAAATTAGATACCCACAGAAATGCAATGTGTGTTTTTTTTTTGTTTTTTTTTCAAAGAGTGGTTCACAAGGCCGAAGATCCACTCGAGGTAGAGTGTTACAGAGGAAGAGACGGTTTATGTGGATAGGAGGAGAAGATAACGGTTAACCCTTGAACAGGTTAAAATTGTAGTGATCAGGAAACAGATCAGTGGTTCGCGGGAAGAAGCTGTTCGAGTGGAACTTACCAATTAAATACAGAGGGAATGTGGATGGTTCCCTACAATGTTATCATGATGATGTCCAGCATTTACTGCCATATCGGAGATTATATAATATGTAGTAGTTCAGCATTCTTTTCTTTGTTTCTAATATTTTCCTATCTCTTAATACTTTGCTTAGATTCTGAAAGGCATGACGAGAATTTTCAAAATTCACTGCCATATAGGAGATTATATATTACGTAGTAGTTAAGCACACTTTTCTGTTTCTAACAACATTTTCTTGTTTGAATAGAACTTACTTATTACCAATGAAACACGGAGGGAATGAGAGTGGTCTGTGAGTGGCATGATGGGCCCTAGCCGTAAAGGTTGGAACTTGCGGAACCAAAGAATGCCGTTCGTCAGCAAAATTGTTCACTTGTTAGATTAAGCTCTGAACCAATGTATCTTAGAAATGATTGAAGATATCTTTCTCCGAGGTTTTTATAACACTATTGGACTCTACTTTGAGCAATAAGAATGTATAATTACTCTCAAGCTTAACAGAAGAAACTAAAATGACATGTTCATCATTAATTAATCACAGTTAAGGATCGGAAGCTTGCGAAGGATTGAAATAAAATTCATATATATATATATATATATATATATATATATATATATTATTCCAGGATCATTTTACAACTTTTTCAAGATGATCTTCGCCCTCTCTAAGCTTCTAAATTTCTACCCGAGTGTCTCAAGACGTTTCACGTAGGGTTTCATTTTCAAGTCTTTTTTCACTACTCTTTGGACTGTTATAGCTGAAACTCTTCTCTCACGTGCCAAACGTCTTATGAATTGAGTTGGATCTTTTCTAATTGATCAATTTAGTTCTAAGTGAAATGATGCTCCCTCTTATTGTTGTGACCTCCTGACCCAGTTTTCCTCTCTACTGTTCCATCTAAGCATTCACCGTTCTTGAATGGTTCTTTGAAGATGGAAGCCAGAGTATGAATGTTGGCACCATTACTAAAAGCCTGAATCGATCCTTTTCTTCTCACCAATTCTCAGTTGGGTAGACATAGTGGGGCTGACACAAAATCATTTTAACCTGTTCTCTTTCTAGCTGAATAACTCAAAGAGTTTTTTTCAGAAATTCTTACGACAAATCGTATCAAGATTATCTGAAAACCTAGAAAAAGAAAATCAATTAGTTTAGTGGTTGTTTAGATATTAAATAATTGTGGGATGGACAATTATGCTGTTACACGATTTGGACAGTTTTGCTGTTACACCCGATACTTGTGGATTATTTGCATGCACAGTTGCACATACGAATGTTCTGTTGGTCAGCTTAGTTCAAATACTTCTCGATGCCGTTGCATTCGCTTTCACAAAAATGTCCTCGGGACATCACTCTCCCAGTAGCAGGTCAGATAGGGCTCTCTAGTTTTCGTTGGAAACCAGTTTAGGAGAACGAAAATTCTGAATTCAAAACTGTTTGGGCATGGGACTAGCAACTCCACCCTGTAAAAACTTTACTGCTTTGAAAACTACACTAACCACCTTGCATAATAAGGATGTGGCCCTAGCGTAGTGAGGCTGCGGCATTCTGTTCCAAAGGGGAGTTAACATGCATCAAAATTAAACAATCTTAACGGAAGCATCAGTGACAATCGCAAAAACGCCATCTTGAGGGAAGATAGATTAACAAAAAAAAAAAAAGTGGGACAGAACAGAATTCTATCCCGCGTGAAAGAGATCAGCATAATGCGCTCAGAAAAGATATATAAACAGATTATATAAAGCTAGAGAAAACTATCAGCGATAAATATAAACAAAGAAAAGATAAAAGGATATACTGTCAGAGAATGAAAAACTACAGGACACAGACGCAGTAGGCATGCGCAAAAAACATCAACGAAATCGCAGAGCAGAAAACATAGTTTTGGATAGAATTCATAAAAATCTAGACACCATAACAGTGGTAAAAAAAGGTATTTCAGAGGTGGCATGTATATATAGTAGAACTCATCCGTGACAACAGAGTAGA